CCAACGACGAACAGAACCATCAGAATTAAAAGCAATATGAGTCTGAGTCATGCCCCGGGTCTTCTCAAGTTTCTTAGGACACTTAGCAAGATGTCGAGTAAGATGCCCAGTGCCATGAGCAGAATAAGCAGAGTAGCGCTTATGGCAATGAATGCAAGTGGCAGCAAACCTGATCTTTCTACCTTTCTCAGTTTTGTAGTGCTTCTCAAAGTCCTCCCAGACAACAGACGTCGAAGGGCAATTAGAACTGACAGGGCTAACCTCGCTCTGGCCAACGTCGGTATCAGCCACGTCGACTGGGGGGGTCAGAGTCGTCGACGGGAAGGGGATCAGCAGCAGAACGGCCAAAGAGCACGGCAGCGTCCTCACGGACATCATCGTCCTCATCATCTCCGGCCATCCCGCACATACACAGCTCGTCGTTCTGGGAGTGGTCAAACTCCCCGTCGTCGTGTCGCCCGGCGCCTGGGGCCATCTCTGCCGTCTCCAGTTCCTCGACGGCTGCCACAATCAACAGATAAAAGCAGGGTTAGGTGGGGGATTAGGGTTTGGGTTAGGGTTAGGGTTAGGGTTAGGGTTTACCCTTACCTCTATGGCCGGAGCCCCGTAAACGATGACGATGAGACGGACCGATTGCACACCCCCGGTACCTCAATAGAGATCGGAGCCCCGGAGGTGGCGGCAGCCAACGATGTGGACGACGGACAGATGATGGAGATGCGGCGAGGATGCCGAGAATGATGCTCAATCGACGTTCAGGGATGAAGAATAAGGGAACAGATGGAGATTTAGGGCGGGAACCACCGGATCTAAGGGAGAAGAGGGAGATTGAGGGCGGAGAGGGAGAAGAGGGAACCACCGGCCATCGAAACTGACCCCTTACCCGCGCGAAAGACTCCATGGTGACAGCGTCGAGGAGCCTAGGTTACGAGGTTCCTCAACGGCTACCAAAAAACCAAGCAAAGCGCAAATATCATAACAAAGAGCAAAGATCAGAGATGAGCTAGGGTTTACGGTTTGACAATAGGGGGCTCACCTCTACGGCCGAAGCACTGGAGACGCCGGAGAAGTCAACGACGCATAGATCCAGCCCCCTGGTACCTTGACGGCCTCACCTCGGCAAAAGACTTGCGGAAATAAACAAATCAAACCATTAAAACATGCTTATAAGTCTCAAAACAACCGGATCTGAGAGAGATTAAGGGTGCAACCCACTTACCGGAGAGGTCAACGATGCATAGATCCGGCCCCCTGGTACCTTGACGGCCTCGCCTCGGCAAAAGACTTGCGGAAACAAACAAATCAAACCATTAAAACATGCTTATAAGTCTCAAAACAACCGGATCTGAGAGAGATTAAGGGTGCAACCCACTTACCGGAGCCCCAGAGGTGCCAGCGGCCGACGAGGTCGATGACGGAGAGGAGACTCTGATGCGGCCAAGATGCAGAGGGCGAGGCTCAATCGACGTTCAGGGATGAAGACGAGGGGTAAAGATGGCCGTGCTGTGTGCCCGTGCTGGGCACCGGTGGCTCAACCAGCCACCGGAGGGCAAGAGGCTAGTGTTTCCACCGGCAGGAGAGAGGAGAGCGACAAGAGAATGAGCTAGGGTTCCAGCGCCGAGGGAGCGACCGCGGCGGGGAGGATTATATAGCCCTCCTGCCCCCACGGGAGTATCCAACGGCTAGGAGCGGGGGGAGGCCGGATCAATGGCTGGCAGCCGTGCCACCCTGTCTTGCGCTGTTGGAGCGAGCCGTGCGCCGGGCACTACGGGCGGTGTGCGAGGTGCCTGTGCACGGCACGCGGTGGTGGGCGGGCCGGTGCCATGCTTTTTTCGCATGACGGGCCCGTCTTTGGCCTAGCGGGCCTGGCCCATTTGGAAAACTATACAAAAACCTGATACAAGCAAGTATGATTGCTTATACCTGGATGCAGCTGGGTAGAGTTACCCATTGCATGCGGTGGTGAGAATACCACCACCACCTCTGTGACGCTAAAATAAAAGTTTGCAATATTACATACATCGATTTACAAACCAAAATTACATTGACTAAAGATTCAATATCATAGAAATGATTTGTAGCAAACGCCTGATTTTTTCAATAGGGGCGGCTCACTCACCGACCTTCGCCACTATAGTGCCAGCGCTCGGGTCCCACTAGTTCCGTCGTCCATACAAATGGTTTAGTAGAGGCGGCTAGTACTACCAGCCGCCTCTACCAATCCATTTCTAGGGGCGGCTAGAACAAACCATCTCTACTAATGCATTTGTAGGAGCAGCTAGATAAGTAGCCACCCTTACTAATGCTCCAGGTATAACTAGCCCAGACCCCCTTCTTCCTCTCAAACACTACTACGAAAAGTTTATTGTCCCCTAATTTGGTCATATAAGTCCTAACAAAAAAACAATGTGCAGGTGCACAACATATTATGTGTAAAAACTATGTGTCGATGAACAAGTACTGCAACAGACCACATACAGTTCTAGAATATACCACCTATGTTTACTTAAGTTTGTAGAACCCAAATTTGACAATAATTCGACAACATCCAGAGCATTCCAAAGAGAAATTAAAATTAAATCCACAATTCCTAAGCTAATTTCGATTATCTCAGAGGTCATTGTGCAGGATGGCGAGCGGGAAGCCGGACGCGAGCGCCACGAGCTCGAGCCAGCGAGAGGCGAGGTCGACGCCCCGTGGCCTGAGGTTCGAGATGCTCCTGTCCCCCCGCTTGCAGTCGAGCTGCCCTCCTCCTGACCCCTCTCCACCATCCCTCACGCTCGTAGCACCGTTTGCCGGTGGCCCTTCCGCCGCTTTTCGTCTAAGGGGAGGGCGGGGAATGGAAATTTTGGGTGGAAGTATTTCCCCTCCCGTCCGCGCGCGCTATTTTATACCTAGTGAATATCACCGCGGGAGCGTCTGTGGAGCCGGCGGAGATACTTCATCATCACCCTGTTTCATAGCTGCTCGGCGGTGGTAATAATTTGTTTCCATGGCCGCCGAATTTGGACATGTAATTGCATCAAGCCAAGCGACTCTACATTTCCCCAGATACGTTCTCTGTTCTAGACCATAGGAAGGCACGACGTCTCTTGTCCAGTTGTTTCAGCCCATGCGGACAAGCAAGTGGCGATAGAGATGTGAACAGGAATCGTGGACAATGTCACCTTGGTCAGATATGCATGACAGATTTTCCTCCCCGGCCCACCGTTCACCAGGATTCTTGTTGTGGCCATGGAGAGGAGGATGGCGATCCACTCGGTCCATCGCCCAGGAAAGCCGATGAAGGTGAACAACTGGATGAGGAACTCTCAAGAGACCGAGTTAAAAGCTTTGGCAATATCGATCTTCATGGAGAGGAGGATGGCGATCCACTCGGCATCGCTCGGCATGCATCGAGCTGGATGCAGCCTCAAGAGACCGAGTTAAAAGCTTTGGCAATATCGATCTTCATGAGCACGCTCGGCATGCATCGGCTATGCAGCCAGTGACAGGCAAACTGGACCGCCATGAAGTTGTCATGGATCGATCTGCCCCGGATGAAGGCCTTTTGGTTGCATTTGACCAGATCAGGCAGGCGGGGCGCTAGGCATGTGGCCAACCCCTTGGCGATTAGCAGCTTTCCAACGTTGTGTATTAAGCTAATAGGGCGGTAGTCCTTCAGCCGAGACGGCGCTGCTGTCTTCCTTAGCAAGACCATGTTGACGGTGTTCACTGTTCAGCAGGTGAAAGTTCCTTCTGTCCAGTGCCTAGATGGAGTTGAAGACTGCGACGAGGTCATCTTTGATGATGTTCCATGCCGCCTTGTAGAATCTACCGGTGAAGCCATCAGGTCCCGACGCACAATCGTTATGGGATCTCCCTAACGATGGCCTAAACCTCCTCGGTGAACTCGGCTTCCAGCTCGCTGAGTTCAAGCCGAGGCATACCTATTTGTGACATGTTAATGTTCCTGGCACGTGCTGACGTGCGAAGTATTTACCGAGGAGGGTGTTGTAGTACTCAAAAACTGTGTCGGCTTTGGCATTCTCCGCTGCAAACGTCTGACCCTCGTGCTCTATTGTCGGAATGTAGCTTTTCCTATTTCGGTGACACGCTTGCAGGTGGAAAAACCTTGTGTTCACATCCCCTTCACGCAGGAAATGGATACAGGATCTCTGGCGTGCGATCATCCTGGACAGCGACGCCAAGGATCGTGCACTTAAGCTCCTTGCACAGGACGATCTCAACGGCCTCGGCTCTTGCGCGACGTCAAGTTGGCCCACGATCAGCCGGGCCATGATGAGCTAAGAGCGGACGCTCCCAATGCCTTAGCACTCCACATCCTCAGTGCCTTGGCAGTGTTGCGGAGCTTGAAGTCGAACACCTTGCAAGCGTCAGCGTTGTGCAGTCCGAACGCCCAAGCCGACGCGACGACATCGTTGAAGCCCTCCATGGACGTCCAGAACCGACTCAAATCTGAACTGCGGCTTGGCCCAAGGCGTGGCGTTTAGCCCAAGTGCCAACGGAGCATGATCCGGGCAGTCCGTCTGCCGAAGTGATGCAGCTCCGCGAGCTGCGAGTCATCAATGACACGACGGAACCGCCGTACTGCTAATTACAAGTATGGTACGCACTCTTGTGTTGCACCGTGTCAAAACTCTCTTAACTGATGAGCACTCCCTCCTCCCCTCCCACTAGATCCATTATTCATCACAGAAAAATACAGAGAAGAAACACTAGCAACTGAATTGAAAGGGCATATTCAGCAGCACACTAGTGGGCATCGGATGCAGGTTGATTCATATATGTATATATGGACAACAGCTACTCTGCTTTTTGCCACTCTATGGTGCCTCCTGATTTACTGGAACAAGAACATACCTTTTTCTAGCAACCAGCAAGCTTACCATCGTTTCCAAATTTGTTCAAGAATTTATCAAAAAAAAAATTGTTCAGGAAAATGCTACTGCCTCCAGATGCTGCAACAAAAGTATCTGACCTCCTGATTGTCTTCTTTTCTACTCTTGCATCGTATCGTCAATACCATGCATGTCGCACATCACAACCTCTGTGCTTGTCGACGACAATGGCTTCCTGGGGGAACAAGGCTTGCCTGGCTTCAGGTGGTTGTGTTCACCACTGTACACAATCTCAGCAATTTGGCCATCTACTGTCGTCTCCACCTTTCTCTTCACAGGGCAGCTAGGGTGAGTGCACTTGTAGTAGCTCCGTGGGAACTCGCTGCCCTTCACTTTCTTTTGCCCATATTTCCTCCAGTTATACCCATCAAGCGACAAACGACTGCGCACACCATTCCGCCCAGCAGTTTGGCATGCTGTTACATGCTCACAACACGTGAAATGCTCTGCATTGACTTCCACCTCCTCAGATATGGCATCCGACCCGGCATCCTGCAAGTTAAGTTTAGCACAGTTGAAACAAGATTTCATGATGATACCCTGGGTAGTTGAATAATCGAATAGACGACAGACAAATACTTGAATTTAGAAGGCTCCAATTCACAAAAAAAATTGTCATTATCAAAATACATGAAACGTCTTTCCAAAGCAGAGAACCAGTGTGAGACTTACTATCGTTGCTGCTATCTGTGTTGGAAGATTACCCGGTAGCGATGCCAACTGAGTGGCTTTTGGTCTGATTAGCTCAATCTCCTCTGGGATGGTGATTGTTGGGGAACAAGTGGCGTTGAAGTCTTGCAGAACCTTTGGGAAGGGCCTGAACCTGGAGAAAGGCCTGGAGACCACAGGCTTCAGAACAACAACCTTCTCATGAGGTTGCATCTTCCCTGACCTGAAAACACGGGACAATTTTGTAATCATAGCAGTAGCTCATTTGCTTGTTTGTAGGGGGGAGAAAGAAAAAGAAAACAAATGCACAAGGGATTTATGGAACTTTGAGTAGTAGACCAATACTTCATATACAAACTGAACTATTTTGTAGTGCAGCTTGCAAACTCCCACAATAAATCAACCAAATCATAGTAATCCGAGGAAGGGCATTCACATAGGCAACGAACTGAGCAAGTATCTCATAGGTGGTCACCTTCGTCCTCCACTCTGTTGCAGCTGTATATACTTGTGGAAGCAATGCAATTGCAAAGGCAACAAGGTTGTTGAGCAGAGGACAAAGAGGGAGCTAGTTAGGGCACATGCATGTAAGACTGTTAGGTATGGGCACAAAGCAGGGGAGTAGATATATTCCGATGGTCAGCATTTAGTGCTGGGTCAGACTCTAAACCCATCCTCCTCCTGCTGTCCATCCTTGTTTGAGACAAACTCTGACCAACACAACAAATTTAGATGACCAAAGCATGCAGTGGAAAACTAAAACTTTATGCTAGAGCATATTGACTATATTTGGGGGTTAATAACAAAAACATTTATTAATAAAGTATGCAAAGCTACTTGCTCGAGGATAGTGAAAACCCAAGCTGAAAAAGAAAATCAAATTTCTTATATGCAGTGAACTAAAGTTCATAAGCAGACAGCAGCACAGATGCAGCTCATAGCCTCATACCCTTAAGCTTCATATTTCAGGTAACCTTCAAGGAGATATAAAAGCATTAAGCACTCCTGCTCCCTTAAGCTTCACTTTTGTTAGAAAAGTCCATCAGTTTATTCTTCCAGATGTCATTGGGACAATTTACAAATGAATCGGGGAAACATTAGTAAATGTTGATTTCTGCAATGCACAAACAAAATGTCAGGAACAATCACCGTTTACCAGGTTACACTGAAGGATAAACTTTTCTTCATGTGACTTAGTTGCACCCACTTCAAGTATTTGCATGCAAGTGCTGTTAATAACCTACCTGCAAGCAACAGAAACTCCAGAATGTAAAACCATTCCATGCTATGTGCAGCTTGCAAAACACGTGGCTAAACTTAGAACTAATGTAAAACCATTCCATGCTATGTGCAGCTTGCAAAACATGGCTAAACTTAGTGCTAAAGATCATTTCATGCTAGCACAGCAACCTTAAGATTTAAAATATCTATGATAGGACTTAAAGCTTCAAATCTAAAGACTCACGCTTGTCATCAATCAGAGAAAGGGAATTTGTATCTTTCATATTTAGTCCTAAATTGCTTGCTAACAAATATGTGTAACCTTTATCCTTCTGAAATATTTGAGAACAGTAATATAAAGATTTTTTATGTCAGTATATGAGAGAAATGAAGGTGCATATGCGTAGCAGCATTGGAGACAAGCTTTTATTCCTTTTTGTTTTGATGGGGGCATCAGAGACAAGGCTTAGCTTGAGTAACAGACAGATTTGAAACAACTGATTAGCCAGCACATTTAAAGGGCAAACCTGAAGGTGAAGTATGCAGTTGCTTAACTCAGTTATTGCAGCTACCTCATAGCAGGATTCCCACAGTCATCATTCTGTAGCACCGTGGGGGGTACGACCCCGGATACCCACGGCAGACCACATGGGCTGCGCCCCCAGGGGCAGCCCAGCCCACAAGATGAAGCCTTGCGAGGCACGGCGCTGCTCGGTGGTTCCCGCAAGATACCGGGAAGATATCCTGAAGATACTACGAGATCTGTTAGGATACGTATGATCCCATGATTCCTGTAATCTGTTATTACTTTTCGGTTATCTCCTAGATCTAACCGACTTGTAACCCTGCCCCCCGGACTATATAAGATGGGCAGGGACCCCCTCCAAACACACACAATATCATACGATAGCCAATACAATCCAACATACCACAGGAGTAGGGTATTACGTTATACTGACGGCCTGAACCAGTTTAACTCATGTGTCTCTGCTGCCTTCTTGTTCTCAATTACACGCATCTCTGCCGATCAATCTACCTTCGTGGGATACCCTCGGAGGACTGCCGACAATATTCTGTTGACAGTTGGCGCGCCAGGTAGGGGTGTGCATGTTGTTTCCATGTCGAAGAAGATGGTACGTTTTACAGGCTCTTTGTCCCTCCCACGGCCGGCCAGATCTTCATGGTTGGATCGATCTCATGGATCATCAACGCTGACGGAGTCGGAGAGCTTATGGAGCCGATGCAGATTAATACTACGCCGATCACCCCAACACTTGCGACTGCAGATCCGATCTCGGAACCACCTCCAAGGTCGCTTTCGCCGACAATTCGCCATCCGCTCCCCCGCTACCAGGGGAGGCAAATCAACAACGACGATCTGATCACATCCATCGATCAGGTTGGCCAGAAGCTCGCCGATTGCCTCTCCATCGCGGAATCGGCTCTGACCACTCTGATTCAGCGCCGACCACCCTCTGGTTCAGATCTATCGGAGGAAACTCCAAGGGTTACGTCCCTACCCTTTGGGCTCACCAACGTCGCCGCCACTTATCAAGATGCCCTAAGGGGCAAATTCGTCGACCAGATTGGAGATGTCCATCCCCTCGCCGACCAGCTCCTGCCGGCTATCAACATGCTACACGTCGGCCGACGCCCCAGAGCATCCCTCCAAACCATCCTAGAGGAGAATCCGGACTCGAGTCCCAGGGCTCTACGGAGACTGTCGCTGAAACCACCGCCGAGCAACCTCCCTTCCCTCCCTTCCGTGGAGTCGCAATCTTCAACGTCAGCGTCGACAGCCCCCCGTGGGAAGGGGAAACCGAGGAGGACCGTGCCGCCCGCGTCAACATGAACGTCAACCATGCTCAGCGCCGAGCAAACGAGGCTGCCCTTGTGCTAGCCGAGGCTCAGCTCGACTCGCAAGGAAGGCCACGCCAAATCCAACGCAACCTCGACGATGAATTTGTCCGTGTTGATGGCCACGATGTCTACAAGACCCCAAGCGCCAACTTGGTCGTGGCCGCCAACGAGCTCACCTGGCTCCCACAGACATCGGAGGTCGCCAGGGTCGCCGCCATGCTTAAAGCAGTACACTGCCAGGTCAACGACATCCACCAGGATTAGAGACCTTCATACTCCACGAGCTTGATTCGCCGATCAGCTGCGCCAAGATCCAATCGTCGCCCCAGCCAAAGTCATTTCGCCGACCAGCACCGCGACGATAGACAACCCCTCCAAGGGGGAGCTAGGGGCAACCGCATCGAACGCCCTCTCCAACACGACCATGAGGTCGACCAGAAATCCGTCTAAGCACACCTCAACAATCTCCGAGACGCGCGACGACGTATTGACGAACGCCAGTTTCGGTCGCCATGAAGAAGAAGTACGCCGCCATCAAGAATACAAGCAAGAGTTTGGTGATCCGGACTCAGCCCTCCAGCCACTCAACATCGGCAACGCCGCAGATCATGACGGTGACAATCCCGAAGGGCCCCCAGCATTCACAAGGGCTCTCCGAACACTCCAGTGGCCCCGTGGTTTCAAAATCACTAGGGTTGAGCCCTAAGAAGGACGGATGAACCCCACACAGTGGCTACAAGCTTATGCCACTGTTGTGCGCGCCGCCGGGGGAGATACCAGTGTCATGGCAAACTATCTTCCCGTCATGCTCACGCCAACCGCGATGAACTGGTTCACAAGCCTCGTCCTGGACTCCATCGGATTCTGGGAAGAGCTGAAGAAGATCTTCACCGACAACTACATGGCTACGTGTACTCGGCCGGGCACCAAGCATGATCTGAACGGCATCTATCAGAAGTCGTCCGAGCTCCTCCGTAGCTACATCAGACGCTTTTCCGAGATGAGGAATTCTATTCCCAACATCACGAAAGCTGAGGTCATCACCGCCTTCGTCCGAGGACTCCATCACCGCGATCTCCGCTCCAAGTTCAACCGCAAGCCACCCATGGGGATTGGCGAGATGATTATGACCGCCAACCAGTACGCCAACACCGAAGAAGCCGAAGTACGCTTCAATGAGGACGCGGGCACTCATCGCCCAACTCGCCATAGCGACGAATGACCCGACGACCGATGCCATAGCGACCGCCGCTATGACGACCGTAGTCACCATCGGGACAGTAGCCGTGATCGGCCAGAAGGATCCAAATCCGGCCAATATCGTCGCCGCCGACCAGACCACATCGTCGCCGCCGTCGACGAACCTCGCGCCAAGCGCAACTATGATGAGCAGTACAAGAAGATCCTCGAAGGCCCGTGCCCTCTCCATAAAAATGCCAAGCATAAGATGAAGGACTGCCTCGGTGGGCTAAGGAGTTCCAAGCCAAAAAGCCGGATGACGACAACAACGACGGAGCCGGAGGCCACCGACCACCTGGGGGCAACAACAATGCCTTCTAGGATCACGACAAAGTGGTCGCCACCATCTTCGGGGGCCTCGCCTCCGCCAAGAGCAGAAGAGATCGGAAGCTCACCGACCGCCGGGTGCTCGCCGTCAACGCGGAAGACGTCATCGCCAACCCCAGCTATCACCCCTGGTTCGAGGTCCCCATCACCTTTAGCAGGGCAGACCAGTGGGCGGACATCCCTTACACAGGGCGTTTCCCCCTCGTCCTTGATGCGACCGTCCAGAAAGTGCTTTTCATGAAAGTGCTCGTCGATGGTGGGAGCACTCTGAACCTCCTCTTCGCCGGAGCCCTAAAGGAGCTGAGGCTTGGGATAGGAGATCTCACACCCTCTGACTCCTCCTTCTGGGGTGTGGTACCTAGCAGGGCATCCAAACCGCTTGGAGAGATCACCCTACCAGTACAGTTCGGCACGGCTAGCAACTACCGTGTCAAGCACATCAACTTCTACGTCGCCAACTTCAACACGGCATACCACGCCATACTTGGTCGGCTAGCTCTAGCCAAGTTCATGGGCATACCGCACTATGCCTATCTGGTGCTGAAGATGCCTTCACTTGCAGGAGT